ATACATATCTGCACTTTTTCACACAGACACTCACCACACTAAATCTCCGAGACAATCAAATCGGAGGTCTCGGAGCACAACATCTGGCTGATGCATTACAACATAACACAGTGACACTCTTTCTCCCTTCTTCTTCTCTCTCTCTCATATACATATCTGCACTTTTTCACACAGACACTCACCACACTAAATCTCCGAGACAATCAAATCAGAGATCTCGGAGCACAACATCTGGCTGATGCATTACAACATAACACGGTGACTCTCTTTCTCTCTTCTTCTCTCTCTCTCATATACATATCTGCACTTTTTCACACAGACACTCACCACATTAGATCTCGGATACAATCAAGTCAGAGATGTCGGAGCACAACATCTGACAGATACATTACGACATAACACAGTGACACTCTTTCTCTCTCTCTCATATACACATCTGCACTTTTTTACACAGACACTCACCACACTAAATCTCTACGGCAATAATATCGGAGCTCTTGGAGCAGAACATCTGGCTGATGCATTACAACATAACACGGTAACACTCTTTCTCTCTTCTTCTCTCTCATATACATATCTGCACTTTTTCACACAGACACTCACCACACTAAATCTCCTGAACAATCAAATCGGAAATATCGGAGCACAACATCTGGCAGATGCATTACAACATAACACGGTAACACTCTTTCTCTCTTCTTCTCTCTCTCATATACATATCTGCACTTTTTCACACAGACACTCACCACACTAAATCTCCTGAACAATCAAATCGGAGATAACCTTCAAACTCGTTTGGAGGAATTAATTGAGCAGAATAAGCAACGAACAAAGTCGTGAGCTTTGATTTCGAAGACAGCAGTATGAAGAACTCTAATTTCTGATTGAATGTGTGATTTGCTGTTTTTTCTTGTTGTTTTGTTTGCAAATGATAATAAAACAGCTGGTAAAGACTTAAGCGTAATCAAATGAAAACTCTTTGTAGCGTTTGAAAAATACGATATGCCTCATTTTTTTGAGCTTTACTGGCATGCAGGTCAAAAATTTTTTTCCAAAAACAAAAAAATGCTTTTTATTATATATAAGGTTAGACGCAGCTTGTTGAGCTGGTTTCAATTATCACCTTGGTTTTGCATCAAAATGATGCCCTGTTGATAAAAATAGGGATTCGTGAGGAAAAACCTTGATCTTTGAGAGTTTCATAGCATTAGCTGGGTGTGGGTGTAGACCTTTTCTCGAAGATTCACCCACACTCACACCCGAGGGACTTTCAATAGTCGCACCATAAACTGCCACTAAATGATCTTCTGATTTATTATCTCATGTTTATTGACGGAAATAAAGCAAAATCAAATAGGAAATTTTTAGACAAAGTTAGTCGAATTCAACTCTTGTTCATGGGTAAGAGGACTAGTTTGTTGTATTTATTTTCGAACGATGGGTGGACAAAGTTCTGTCCTGAATATTATGTTTGGATAGCACACACCACGAGCACCACATCGAGCGTCGAAGACACAAGTTGAATTAGTTTCTTGACATGGACTGGTGGCATTACAAGATAGTGCAGAAGCACAGTGAATGCCAATTGTACAAATACCTTCTCCTGTTACTAACGATGCGCACCAGCAATAGGCCTTTTCCGAACAGAGTCCACTCGCGGACGGATCACATGGAATTTCGGGTTGTGCATAGATGCAATTGACGATGAAAAACACTACAGTTAAGAAAAAAAGAACGTCATCCAAATGAATACATGCGACCTATACTGTTTTTTAAGAGACAAACCGATACTTAATGGAAGTCTAAAAAATCAAAAAAAGAATAGTTATTTGACGATAGTAAAAGAGCATTCATTCAAAAGAATGCTTACATGACACATAGAAAACAACCAGAGTGCATGATTGAGAATTTGGACAGATGATCGTCGTTGTTGCTACCGATTACAGAATTCAATTGGATGCAGTGAAAGCTTAATTTATCGTATCAATTATCTTTCATCGACAAAAAAAAATATAAGAGATATAATAAACTTTAACTTCAATCATTTTATATTAGTGCGCTCCAATTTAAACTGCGATCTCTCAAAGTAAAATCCTCGTACTCGAACCTACTGCATTCAAATTTAGCAGTAGTAAAATTTTTGAGAAAATAATGTTTGTGTCCCAAACATAAATGGTCTAGCCCAGTGTGTTATCACATATTTTCATTTAGTCAATACTGCTGTGCACAATACGAGTAGGTTTCATTTTCCAGCGCCACCGATCAACGACTGATCATCATATTCTAATCCTCGACCATCTAGTAGCTTTGATAGCATTCGAGCAGATACAGTTCAGAGGAAGACTTTCACGTGTCAGGGAAGATTTTTGCTTGAAAAGAACTAGAACAAAGGGGTCGCATCGATTAGACTTGAAATGAAATGAGAGTCCGATCGGTCAAGGGTGCGAGCTTTTCTGAGAGGAGACTATTTAAAATCTGCTTCTCAAGAATAGAATAGTATTGTAGAAAGATGTAGAAACATAGTATAACAAGTATTTATCTCAGCTATAACTATCTTTGTCAATAATGTAATGTCGATGAATGAAAGAGAATCTTTCATTCGTTTGACGGAATTACCTACTTTTGCATCAATGTATTCAAAACCAACTACGACGAGAAGAAATTTTTGTTAAATATGTCTCGCTTGGAATGTATGAAAATTAGATCCATAGTATCTGAAGCGATCATGTTGTCTGGGTTCAGCATAGCGCGATGAAAATATGTCTTGTAGATGCATACTATCAATAGAGTTTAGGGTAATGAGACGAAACAGAATTATGATTATAGAATACTCTAAGATGGAGTGTGTGATTTTTGAAAGCATTAGTGCCTCAAGAAAATCTTACGGGCCATAATTTGGTAAGTCAAAGAAACATCGACCGATAACCTTAGAATACTTTTTCTAAAAACATCAGTGTCAATTGTCTTAAAGCTAAGTATGTTAAATATCAGTGAGTTGCATTTTATGAATATGTATCA